GACCAATGATACCGAATTTTTTAAGAATATTTTTCAAGGACCAATAATCTTGGATTTAAGGAATATTTTTCTTCAAGTCTTTTTCAAGATTTTTTTTGAAGGATCAACAGACCAATACGCGTAGATTTTTTCTGAATATTTTTGATGGATCAATCGTGGATTTTTTCTGAATATTATTGATGGTTCAATCGTGGATTTTTTTCAGTATATTTTTGATGGAACAATCATGGATTTTTTTCAGTATATTTTTGATAGATCAATCGTGGATTTTTTCAGTATATTTTTGATAGATCAATCGTGGATTTTTTTCAGTATATTTTTGATAGATCAATCGTGGATTTTTTCAGTGTATTTTGAAATATCAGGTCCACGTTTATCCATCCATCATTCGATTATCAAGGCCACAATTATTACTCGATTTTTTTTAAATATTTTTTAAGAATAATTTTTAAGGACAACATACCAATAACCATGAATTTCAAAGATCAACAACCACGAATTTTTAAAATATATATATTCTTTTTTTAAGAATTTTTTCGAAGAATCAACCGACCAATAATCGTGGACTTTTAAAGATTATTTTTTCAAGGATCTACAGCAGATAAATAATCTTGGATTTTTTAAGAATATTTTTCTTGATTATTTTCAAGGATCAACAGACCAATAATAGCGAATTTTTTAAGAATATTTTTCAAGGACCAATAATCTTGGATTTTAAAAATATTTTTCTTTTTCAAGGGCCAACAGATCAGTTGCATTGCATTTTTTCAGAAAATTTTTGAAGGATCAACAGACCAATAATCTTTGATATTTTTTGAATATTTTACAAGGACAATAATAAGGGATTTTTTAAGAATAGTATTCAAAGATCAACAAGCCAAATACCTTGGTTTTTTTTCAAGGTCCAATAATGGTGGATTAAAAAAAATCAAGAAAACTGACCAATAACCAGGAATTTGTGAAGACTGTTTTTCATCAGACCAATCATCGTCTAGTTTAAAAAAATATTTTTTTTTACGATTAACAGACAAATATTCGTGGATTTTAAAATAACATTTTACCAGGGACTGGCAGTCTAAAAATCTCGGATTTTAAAGGACAATTTTAAAAGACCAACAGACCCAAAATTGTGGCTTTTAATTATTTTATTGGCTAATATTTTTAAGGAATACGATTCCTGGATTTTTAAGGAATAATTTCTTGACTATCAGATTCTTAGGCACATCGAATATTTTGTTCACAAATTCTTCTTCACCTCAGACCTTAAAATGCCCGATTAAAAAAATTATTAAAGCCTCATTTTTTATTCTTTAAACATATCAACACCAATGGCACGCTGTACCTTTACGAGTAGTCAGTCAACTATGTATGTAGGTAAATGTAGTTATGGGCGAAGGCAGGAAAAAAAAACTTAACATGTAAATTATGAGTAATTAAAAACAGGAAAAAAGAATAAAGCAAACAAATTCAATTAGCTGTCATCATCCGCAAAGAGAATAACAAGGATATTAAAATGTTGTCGAGGAAGACAAGAAAACAAGGACATAATACTCACACATACATACATTGGGGTTTATACTGTGTATATTGCTGGTAAAGGGTTCTTTAGCACACAGGCGGTTTTACTTTAACAAATTTGAGTTGAAAGTTTGTTAGCATTTAAGTAAAAACATATATTATCCTTACATGCTTGTGTGGTATAGGTAATAATCTCCTGGTGGGAACATAAACGTACGCTCAGCATATTTTATACGATTAATTATACCCTCAGCCTTATGGCTACAGAGGGTATATATCATTTGATACGGTCAAAACGTGCCTAGTCGAAATAACGGTTTTAGACCCTAGGTCTCTTTGGACCAAATCCGTTTCAGAACATTTGGAGTCGATCTACCGATGTCCGTCCGTCCGTCCGTCCGTCCGTCTGTCTGTCTGGCTGGCTGGTGCGCACGATAACTCTTGAAGGGAGTATCCGATTTGGTCCAAACTTGATACATCGTAATATTTTTGTCAAACTTAGATCGAGTTCGGAGATGGGCAATATCGGTCCACTCCTTCTGGTACCTCCCCCACAAAAGGTCGAAATTTTCAAAAAAATTATTTTTTGCACAGAAAGAGAAGCGTAAAACCGATTTTGCCCCAACTTTGCAAATCTTAATATTTGCGTCAGTGTTAGGTCAAGTGTGAAAATGGACAATATCGGTCCACTCCATCAAGTACCTCCCCCACAAATGGTCAAAATTTTGAATAATTACAACTCTCATAATATGTGATGTAAGAGTCCGATTGTCTTCAAATTTCACACATGCCAATATTTATATTAGCCCAAGGTCTGGTGTTAAGATGGAATATATCGGTCCATTCCTTCTGGTACCTCCCCCACAAATGGTCGAAATTTTAACAAATATATATTTTTTGCACAGAAAGAGAAACGATTATCCGATTTTGCTCAAACTTTGCAAATCTCAATATTTGCGTAAGTGCAAGGTCAAGTGTAAAAATGGACAATATCGGTCCACTCCTTCTGGTACCTCCCACACAAAAGGTCGAAATTTTCAAAAAAAAATATTTTTTGCACAGAAAGAGAAGCGATAAACCGATTTTGCCCCAACTTTGCAAATCTCAATATTTGCGTAAGTGTTAGGTCAAGTGTGAAAATGGACAATATCGGTCCACTCCATCAAGTACCTCCCCCACAAATGGTCAAAATTTTGAATAATTACAACTCTCATAATATGTGATGTAAGAGTCCGATTGTCTTCAAATTTCACACATCTTAATATTTATATTAACCCAAGGTCTTGTGTTAAGATGGAATATATCGGTCCACTCCTTCTGGTACCTCCCACACAAATGATCAAGATTTTCAAAAAAATAAAATATATAAAAAAAAATATTTTCTGCACAGAAAGAGAATCGATAATCCGATTTTGTTCCAACTTTGCAAATCCTGATATTTACATCAGTTCTAGGTCAGGTGCAAAAATGGATAACATAGGTCCACTCCATCAAGTACCTCCCCCACAAAAGGTCGAAATTTTGAATATTCATCACGCTCTTAAAACACTTGAACACGATTCCATTCCAAAGAATCCGAAATAAACATCCAGTTCTCTTCATATTACACACGTCCCATTATTTCTACTAACTCAAGATCTGGTGTGAAGATGGGATATATCGGTCCACTCCTTCTGGTACCTCCCCCACAAAAGGTCAAAATTATGAGTATCCATGAAGTTCATAAAACGCAAAATTATCATCCGATTCTATTCAAACTAGGATGATGTATTTTATCTGTATTAGATGAAGTGTGAAAATGGAATATTTCGGTCCGCTGTATCTGTTACCTGAGGCATATTTCCATTTTCCGAAAAGGTGCACATACCTCATATAAAGTACAAGAAGTAGTCGATATAGTCCAAATCTGTCACGTTCGTAACTCAAGGCTGAGGGTATACATCTGTCGGCAAAACCGACTGATACTATTTTACTTGTTTTAAAATTATATTGATATTTTTATACCCTCAGCCATATGGCTACAGAGGGTATATAGCATTTGATACGGTCAAAACGTGCCTAGTCGAAATAACGGTTTTAGACCCTAGGTCTCTTTGGATCAAATCCGTTTCAGAACATTTGGAGTCGATCTACCGATGTCCGTCCGTCCGTCTGTCTGTCTGGCTGGCTGGTGCGCACGATAACTCTCGAAGGGAGTATCCGATTTGGTCCAAACTTGGTACATCGCAATATTTTTGTCAAACTTAGATCGAGTTCAGAGATAGGCAATATCGGTCCACTCCTTCTGGTACCTCCCACACAAAATGTCCAAATTTTCATAGAAAATAATTTATTGCACAGAAAGAGAAAGGATAATCCGATTTTGCTCGAACTTTGCGAATCCTAATATTTTCATCAGTTCTAGTTCAGGTGCGAAAATGTACAATATCGGTTCACTCCATCAGGGACCTCCCCCACAAAGGGTCAAAATTTTGAATAATTACAACTCTTATAAAATGTGATGTAAGAGCCCGATAGTCTTCCAATTTCATACATCGCAATAATTTTATTAGCACAAGGTTTGGTGCGCAAATGGAATGTATCGGTCCACTCCTTCTGGTACCTCCCCCACAAAAGGTCGAAATTTCAAAAAATTTTTTTGCACAGAAAGAGAAAGGATAATCCGATTTTCCTCGAACTTTGCGAATCCTAATATTTTCATCAGTTCTAGTTCAGGTGCGAAAATGGACAACATCGGTTCACTCCATCAGGGACCTCCCCCACAAAGGGTCAAAATTTTGAATAATTACAACTTTTATAAAATGTGATGTAAGGGTCCGATAGTCTTCAAATTTCACATATCTCAATATTTTTATTAACCCAAGGTCTGGTGTTAAGAGGCAATACATCGGTCCACTCCTTCTGGTACCTCCCCCACAAAAGGTCGAAATTTCAAAAAATATTTTTTTGCTATAAAGGAAGGATAATCCGATTTTGCTCGAACTTTGCAAATGCTAGTATTTTCATTAGTGCTAGGTAAGGTGCGAAAATGGACAATATCGGTCCACTCCATCAGGGACCTCCCCCACAAAGGGTCAACATTTTGAATAATTATAACTTTTATAAAATGTGATGTAAGAGTCCGAACGTCTTCAAATTTCACATATTCCAATATTTTTATAAACCCAAGATCTGGTGTTAACATGGAATGTATCGGTCCACTCCTTCTGGTACCTCCCCCACAAAGTGTCGAAATTTTGAATACCCAAGCTCATAAAACGCCAAATTAAGATCCGATTCCATTTAGACTTGGTACATCTCAATATTTCTAGGTAATATTTCTAGGGTCAAACGTTTGAATAATTGTAACACTAGTCAAATATATTTCGATTAGTTAATCGAACATAGGCTGAGGGTATATATCTGTCGGCAATACCGACTGATACTTTTTAACTTGTTGGTAATATATTTTTAATATTTTCGTTTTTTTTTTTACTTTTTAGGTTGAACCAGACTTTCTAATAAGTTTCTTAAATTCTTCCATTGAATCACTGGAGCTATCCAAAGAAACCGAAATAAATGGAATTATGCCTAAAGAGGAACTGCTCGAAAGACTCAGAGAAAAGAAAATATCGATGGAGAGAATGTATTTGGTAAGTAAATGAAATAACTGACTGACTTGCCAGGAATCAACTCCAAAACGAAGCGGCTGTCAGAAACGGGGAAATTAGGCATGCGAATCAAGCTGGAAAGTAAGTTTCATATATGATAGTGGTTTTAAAAACGTGTACTAAGTGTGCGAACTGTACTAAATGGTACTTAGTTTGGAACAGTTTTATTTAAGGTGAACGGATGAAGATGCAATTTAAAAATTTTGTGTGGGGTCCCTGTTGTTGGTAGGTTTGTGATAAAGATGTGGTTTTGGAAAGGTGTACTTAAAGTTCACGAAAAGTACTAAATAGTACTATATTTACTACAATTTAATATTGGATGAAAATATATTGCATTAAATCTGAAATTTGGTATTAGGGTTTGGTTTCCATGAGTAGCCTAGACATATGGAGGTAGTTTCGGAAATGTATACTATAATTGTATGAAAAGTAGTGAATGGTATTATATTTATCAACCAACTTTGAATATATTATGTGAGATATTACAATATTTTAGAATTTTATGGCGTTATGTACTATTTCTACGTTTTATACAGGTATATGACGTTTGCAACTTGTCGACAGTCAAAAACCTTATAAATCTGTCGAACGGGCCATCTATGCTAGGTCTACTGAACATCCACGATTTATTTTAGATTCTTTTGTTAATAAAAGGCCTTCTAGATGATTTCTATGTCTCTTCTACTTAGATCAGAACTTACAGAAATTCCTTATATCTCTTATACATAGAAATATAAATCTTCTACATATAGAAAACCCTATCCAGGCCTTCTCCAAATAGCTGAAAATGTTTCAGTCTTATGAGCTTTCATGCTTTATCGAAAATTTCCCACATTATTCTTTCCTTTTTTGGTTTTTCCTTCAGGACAACTCCGAAAGAGATGCCGATTCCTCGTTATCATTTTCACAGAGCATTGGCGATGGCAAACATAGTGCACCACATGCCCAGGAACATCGGCCCCACAGTCCACCACATTCGAAACGTTTGGATAGTAGTAAAAAATCAATATCAAGTCCTTCCATGGCCACCACATTGCCTCTAATGATATCCGAATCGCCCAGTATGGGTTCGATGCAAGTTCAGACACAACAAAATCAACAGCAACAACAACAAGCTCAATCACCATCACCTGCACCAGCACAAAATAAAGTCAATGATGTAGCTCAAGATAATAGTGTTACCTCCGAGCATTCGGAGACCACGACAACAACTACAACAACAAGTGAAGATGTAATCACCACCTATAAAGAACCAAGTTTAAATGATTCCTCAGCTTCCTATACACATTCGAAAGAAAATGGAACACTCAAGTCGTCGGACAAAGAGTCATTGACGTCGACATCGACGACGGCGACCAAAGAACGAAAGTCTAAAGAAAAACCCACAAAAATAAATAATGAGGCCGACGGCGGTCGGAATCATGTTAAGACACAAAACGGCATTGCTGACAAGGATGATAAGACTGTTAACGACCGTTCCGAGGGTAGTGAGGGGGCCGATGGTGGCAGTGATGACAGAAATGCTGCCAATGGCTCAGCCGTAAAAGGTGACAGTAATGACAACAGTCAAGCCCTGGACAGTGAAGATAGTGCAGCTGCTTTGCAACAATTGCATGCTGCCGCTGCTGCAGCCGCCTTGGCCCACACTGGAGGCTATCCAAGACCAAATTTAAAGGTGGAGTCATCAGATGTCTATCAAATTGTTGATGTCATTCGACGTAACACCAATTTAAGTTTTGATTTATCCTGCGAAGCTTTACGTGTAGTTCTAACAAGTTTGGAACAACTATACAATGGTGCCATCAATCCCTATCTTGAAGCTGTGGCTATACACGTTACCGAGAAAGTGGAAACGCCCAAGGAACTGCTCGGTATGACACACGATGCCAAAAAGCTGCAATATATTTTCTCACAATTGGCCGATTGTAAAAATGATTCGGAACAGCGCACATGGATGTTGTATGAGGATGAAGATGATATTGTACAATTTTTGGAGGATCTTATTGATATATTGGTGAGTGGGATCACGTATTTTCGATTTGTAGTTGAAATGACTCAATTTTTAATGTTTTGGTTTTGCAGAGCAATGCCGATGAAACGATTTGTTGTTATGAAATGTCTTGTGACCAGTATCAGGCCCTAGTCAATTTGGTACAATACTATCAAATGGAAACACGATGGAACATAAAACGTCTATTGCTGAAAACCTTTACGGCAGCCTGTCATTTGGATCACATCATTGTCGATATTTTATTGACGTCGGTATTGCCGCTGGAAATTGTGGAAGATATGAAAACAAATTTTGCAAATTTAGATCGTTTTAAGCAACTAGTCAAAATGTTAACAATTATATTTTCATTGGGCCAACCGATGCCAGTTAATCATCAGGGTAAGCATTGTGCCTCAATTTTATATTGAATTTGATTGATATTTTGGAAAGAAATCAAACTGAAATGGAAATTCAAGATTCAATTTTAAGTTCTTTGTCCTTATTATTATTTATTCAAGTGAATCCATTACAATTCGTACTATGTTAATTCTTATTAGGACAGATGAATGCTTTCACATTAATATTTTTAAGATATACAAGGATTTTGTTCAACCAAATTTATTGATATTTCCTTGTATTTTATCATATCATATAAATGCGGTTTATTCATTATACGTCCTGAGAAATCTGTAAGATAATCCATATGACGTCATGATATCTTTTCAAAATCTTATTATGGAAAGCGAGTTAAAAGTACACTTTAAACTAATTAGGATTTTCCAGGTTAAATATGACAATCCTCTAAGTCATATTATAGGTCATATTATAGGAAAAATGAAGCGATCTGCATTAATTTTTGTGGTTTTTAATTTTTTAACACTGCACAACATGAAAGAAATAGTTCCGATGTGTAAAGGACAACTCTAAGTTAGTACACATATAAAACTTTACATAATAGTTGTTATTTTCTACGTATTTAACGTAACATGCAACTTGGCTTTTATAATAAGAACTCGAAATACAAAATTTGGTGAATTCAATTGGAAATATGACTAAAACGTAAAAACATATTTGAAATCAGGGTTTAGCCTTATATAGGGACGGGATCGACACTACCCATCTTTGATCTCTCCCCTTATGTATGTATATATATTTACATTCCCTAGAAAAAGTTTGACTTGAGTGGGACGAGTGAATTGTAACACGCTCCTTTACAATTAATAATCCATTTTCACATCATTAAATTCCTGAACGTTCTGTAAAAATTGTCGGAAAATCGGTCTAGCCGTTTTCGAGTCAGTAAGGAACATGCACACGCACACACATAAATTGAATTGTATAGATATTATATTATTATGGTTTCATTGGGCCATCGACATGCTTAAAAAAACATTTGGCGGGTTAAATTATATTTCTAAGAGATGTTTCGCCTCCCCACATGTCGAAATTGTATTTTTTTTTTGAATAATCCACAATATATTCTTTAAAAACTTAATCATTCTTTATTCTTTTTCTAATTCCATTTCTAGATTATCTTGGCGTTCATTTTGCCTCCTTCCTATTGGAAATTATCGAAGGCAATAACCCCGAAATTCTAGTTGACATGGTTATATCGCTAGTTTTAGCCTTTAATTTACAATTTAATGATAGCAATCATAACGTTGTGGTGGAAGCAATGCAAACATTACCCTCGGCCAAAGTTTTTACAGAGAAAATTCTATTATTATTGAATCGTGAAGGTATGTAATAATGCTGGATATTCAATCAATATTTTATGTTCTTATAATAAAAATATATATTTTACAGAGGATCCCATTAAAGTTCTAAAACATTCAACGGATTGCATGAATTCAGTATTGAAAATGTTTATTGATATCTTTAGTGTAGCCGAGACGGCAGCAATGTTCTACACCAACGATACCAAAGTATTAATTGACATTATTGTGAGACAATTGACGGATTTATGTGCTGGAAATTCGGTGAGTACAAATTGCTTCGATTCGAGAATGGATCATGTGTCCAGTTTTACTCAGGCAAAAGAAAATAAAAACTATTCGATGGCAGTCACTTGAAATCGAGCTAAATAAAGTTTCTTTAAATAGTTTCGACTGACTTTACGTTATGCTAGTCGACAACACAAGTAAATAAATTCAATATTAAATTTCGAAAAAAATGTTTGCTAAAAGCTATTTTTATGACAAAAATGCTTATCTTATTGAATTGTCGATGCTTGTCACCATTCGAGTAAAGAGAAAAAAAAGACATTTTCTGGAACCCAAACTGGATTTCCTTCAAAGTGGAATCGAAGGAAGCCTTTCGATTGCCCTAGAGAAATAGGTCATTAATCTCTAGTGTTTAGGTTTATATGATAAGATTCTTTGCAAAATATCTTTAACAAGCACGTAGATATATCGATTTGAATGAACTGTATTTAAGTTTTGATTGAAATGGGATGTTTTACGTCATTTACAACTAATTAAAGTGAATACTTTAATCAACAATTAATAATATTTCTTCTTTTTTAGATGAGACGCTGTTACTTGGAACTATGTCGACGAATTCTACGCAATACCGACTATCAGGAACATCAGCATCGTAAACAAGATTTTATGAAAATCTTTACACGAATATTTTGCGAGGAAACCGAATGTAGTGCCTCCGATCAGAAGTTAGTACGCGAAATAGCCAATGAATTTCCCCAAATATTTAAGGCTTAAGTTAGGACACAACAAAAAATGAAGGCAACTGCGAATGGCGAACGTAAGCAATTAATTATGTATAAGTAAGGTATTATTAAGTTATATTTACATGGATGACATGTCATGACATTGTTGTTATAATATAAGGATATTGAGGTTCAGAAACATTTTGAATATAATGATATTAGTTTGGAAATTTTAATTTTCAATTATGAAATCACACCAAAGTAAATGCCAATATTTTGTTTATTCAATTTAAATATTATAATTAAAAAAATAGTTTGAAATTAATCCATGTTGGTTTATAAAAAAAAAATCCTGTTATATTTAAGATAATACTATTTATTTCAAATGAAAATCACGATCTTAACTTTGTAGCGTAATATTATGTTAATAACATTTGTTGATTTTGGTTATGAAAACATTTATTTATATTTAATACCACATCTTATATACACACACGTAAATAAACATGTACGCATAACATATGGTTGAAAATCTCCATTGAGATTGTATCGCTAATGGAAAATTAGTTAAACTTAAAAAATCTGGTAGTTATTACAATATAACTCACATACATACACATCAATTGAGATTGAGATTACATCTATGATATTTTGATCTCATACGACTAAAGAATATACATTAGTACATAAAAAATTGGCCAAAATGAGAACCTAACTTTTTGTTCGTGGATTTTCGAAAATAAATTAAAGCATAGAGCTTCTAGATTCAAGGTCATGGAAGATCAAATCATATACATTTTTCCATTTTCTATCTTTATCAGAATTTAAATGTGAAATTAAAATTGCCGCAATTATCATCGTGTTTTTGAGGAGTTGAGGCATCTACATTTTTCTCACCTATCTTACCCGAAAAATTGTTTCAAAAATAGTTTTCTACTATGAATTATGAATCAATTGTGCATGAATTTGAATTTTAAACTTGTTCGAATTATTGAAATGTATCCGGTATTTTTCTTCGAAACAACTCATGGTTGAGCTCAAACTTTTGACTGAACATTCCGCCAATATAGGGTCTAATTCATAAATGCTCTTTAAATTAGATTATAAATTCCGTTTCCTATCCATAAAACCACGGTTGCCTACTTAGGATTCATAGCAAATGATTACATGTATGGAAACCTGACAATAGAATGGTATCTTGCCCCTCTTTATATAAGTATTATTCCGGTAATAAAGCCGGATTATGCCCTTAACTAACGAGATAGTGAACGGTAAAACAATGCGTAGTTTTTAATTTTTTGATGTTAATTAATTGATGGGATTTGAGAACGAAAATCATGTTTATTGCCTGGATCGACCTTGAGAGAATTTTCAAAAAAATCAGCATTCACTCACGTTTATTGTCTTAATGAAAAATGTTAAAAAATTCACGTTTATTGCCTTGATATACCTTAAGAAATTTTTTTTTTTTTTAAAAATCCACATTCAGTGCCCTGATGGACATTAAAATCTCCTTATATTGACTTTATTTGATTTTGAGAAAATAGCTCAATGAAAAATGCCTTTACTAAAAATACTTAAAAAAAACAATTTAATTTGCTGGCCTTAAGAAGAAAAATCTTTAAACAATCCACGTTTATTGCCCTGGTAGGCCTTGAGAAAAAAAAAACTTAAAAAATCCAAAAGACTTAAAGGATCTTAAGAAAATCTCCCCGTTTATTACCTTGATAAACCTTGCAAAGAAAATCTTTAAGAAACACATTCACTGGACCTTGAGAAAAAATTCTTAAAAAATCTACATTCATTGCCTTGATGGACTATATTTTTTTTAAATTCACATTTATTGCCCTGATGAACATTTATTAATAAACTTCTCCTCAAGAAATAATGCCAATATCTGTAAGACATTGAGAAAAGATCTTGAGGTAAAACTCTAAAAATATCCATGTCATAAATTATTACTTGATATAAGATTATGATATGTAAATTTAAATACTCCAAGAGAATAGGGATTTATCGACTTTTAAAAATATAAACAAGTATTTTACATCACCTTTTAAAATTGTTGCTTATTTTGCCATTATTTTCTTGTATTAATGTATTTAGTCTGTCGGATGAAATGTATCGTCCAATTTAAGCTAGCCATTTTATGGTTGTTGTTTCTGTATTTTTTTTTTTTTTTTGAACACAAATCAATAATCACAAGTTGGATTTAGGGATATTCGTCAATAAGTATAAACCAATCATATTTTATTTACAAAAACATATACATGCATATATAACACATAAGACTCCAAATAATCCTCATATACCTACCTAAATACCTACTACTATAATCAACATCAAAAATAATCGAACTTCGTTTTTCATACGTAACTCAAACAAATATTTATTCACATAATAATGCAAAACATAACCTACAAAATCCTAACAAAATAGTTAACAGAAAATATTGGTCCTATAAAAAGAAAACAAACAACAATCGCCGTATATAGAAGCACTTCCTAAATATAATTAAATAAAACCTGTTATTTTCAATTGCATTTAATGGTGTATTATAAAAAAGAGTAATTAGTGTTTAATAAAAAAATACTTTTATTAGGAAAATGTCTTCATAATTAAATTTATGTTTTTAGACTTTTTTATAACAAAACAACAGCGTTTAAATTTATAGTAGTTTTTTTTTATTTACGATTAATTCGTAGAACAGCCATTATTTATATTCTATTAGAATTTCTAGTCATATACAAAAAAAAAATATATATAGTTTAAGACAAAAAAGGAAGTGCATTCTTTCATTGATAGACATTTTAAAAATGTATCAACGAAACAAATGCATGGAAACCAAAAGAAAAAATAAATCAATAACATTTTAGACTATCATGCTAAGAATATAATTAAATAAATTGGTTAAATTTGTCTATATAATCTATGAAATCTTAAATAGAGTAATTTTAAAATATACTAATAAAAGAGAAAATGTTTTTTGAGGCAACAGAAAAAAGCTTAAACAAATACAGGATTTTAAATTCTCTGTGTAATTGTAAAAAATCGAATTGAGTGTAGTACACAAAGCAGATAAATAGATTATTAATTTTTCTTCTTCTTAATGAAGATATCATAATTTAATTTAAATACTGAATGGTTTAACGGTTAAGAAGAACTTAAAAGAAATATTTATGAAATTTTATGAATGGATCCCTTATAAAAAACGAAGATTGTAGTGTCTAAATTGTGAAATTTGAAATGATAAAAATGCTTTTATACCCTCCAACCCAGTATAGAGTGTACAGGGTGAGATAAATAACAGCAACACAGTCAAACACCATAAATTTTATATATTTTGTATTTACATTTTATTGAATAAAAGCAAACAAATTCGGAAATAGCATCAAATTTTAGAATAAGTTTAGATTTATTCGAATTGGTCACTTTTGGCACGAATTATGGCCTTCAAACGACCAATGAAACCATCACACGCTGCCCGAATGTTGCTCTGTGGTATTTTGGCCATTCCCGCGAAGCGCTTGCTTGAGGTTATCGACACTTTGGTATTTTTTAGTGCCAACCTTGCTTTCCAAAATACTCCAGACACAATAATCCAACTGATGAGTATCCGGAGATTTTGGTGGCCATTGTGCGCTGGAAATGAAGCGAGGAACCTCATTTTGTAACCATTCTTGGGTGGCGCGAGCAGAGTGCGATGGTGCTGAGTCCTGTTGGAATGTCCACGGTTTGCGGCCAAAATGTTTGCGTGCCCCTTACACCCTGCAGAATATTTTTGCGATAATATGCCACGGTCAAATAATATTAGCAGAGAGCGACCATCGGCTGAAATGACGGCCCAGACCATCACCATGGCTGGTACTTGAGTTCTGGTGGCCAACCGAAGGTGCACATTTTCAGCTGACCTCTTTGACAAATAAAGACGATCATTTTGTTTGTTTACAAGCTGCGGCAGTTCATCACTTTCGGCCAATCGAGCAACTTTTTAGCTCTTTTGAGGCTATTTTCTTTCAGTTGCGGTATAAGTTCTTGCACTGGAATCTCAATGGCTTTACCCCGAGCTCATTTTTCAATATTTGGCGAATGGAATGTTGCGATATGTTCAGCCCAGTGCCATTTTTCGACCACTGCGATGCGGGTTTCGATCAGGTCGCTTCTTTACTTTTTGAACAATTTCTGCTGATGTTGCTGTTTTCTTCCGTCCACGTCCTGACGTCGGGCTACGCTACCAGCATTACGTTATCGAACGAACGACGAGACACAAAAGATTTATTCACATTTAAATGCTGGAATGCTCTAACGATAGCAACTTGTGGTTTTCCAGCCAAATATAAAGAAATCACACTATCACGCTTGAATTTCATCACGAATAACTTTTTTTCTGGAAAATTCTCACCAAAATGCTTTTGTACGCTTGTAAACAACATAATGAGCTGTCACTGGAATAATTTTAACAGCTGTCGGACGAGTGGCTTAGAAATGACAGTAGTCTGAATTTGCTTGCAGTTTTTTTATCTTACCCTGTATATCACCTCGAAATTTACCGTTTAGACCCTATAAAATATTGGCCAGTCAGTCCTTAATTTTTTTTAATTCCACGATTCTTGGTCTGTTAATCCTTAAAAAAAGATGTTGAAAAAAATTTAACAGTTTTCTTAGAAAAAAAAAATCCAGGATCATTTCGAATATGTCCAGTTGAACACAGAGCTTGATACAAGGTCAAGGTATTAAAAATTTTAATTGATTAAGAATCCTTCGACTAAACACAGATAACACGAATTCCGTTTTCTCTTTGATTTCTCTGTTTAACTTCTGCACCTTTATAAGTTTCTATGCATTCTATATTTAATAATGAAATAAAAGTTTTGAATATCTTAAAAAATTAACTTCGATTGCAAACGTGAAAAAAATCTTGTATTTGTCTAGCTAATATCCAAGTCCCAATAAAGCTACTATTAAAACCGAACCCATTAAAAATGTTATTGATTATAATACAAATGAATTTTTATAATCCTAGAAAGCCAAAATTTAATTAAAAAAAATAAAACCATTTTTTAAATAAATTAAATAAAAATGATCTAGAACAAATAATAATTCAAAAAACATCAAGTATTCTAAAATAAATGTTAAGAAATAAGAACTGAACTAAAGTAAAAACCAAAATGGTATGATAAAGAATATTGAGAAAGGAGAGATATTGGTTTGAGAAATGTTAAAAAAATATATCATAAATGAAATATAGCAAACAAAAAAAATCTCTGATGAGAATGCTAAAAATATTATATACATATTTCATTTGTTTCCACGTTGAGAACACAACAATGTCCTGCCGCAAAACCGGACATTTAGTTTTAATCGTACGATCACATGCTGGCCTACATATATTAAGGCGAAATTTGACATTTAAACATTTGTCTAACCACTATCTTTCCTAAAAAGTGAGTTTTTTTTTATTTCTAAGATAAAAAATGAATTTTACTATTTTAACAACTCATTAAGTTTTTACAGACACCGATATTGGTTAATACAAATTTAAAGAAAAACAATTGATGACTTTTATTACACGTTATAATAAGAAACCCCGTCTGTTAAGGAAAACCAATTTGCTCAAGGATTGAAACCCCTCTCTTTCTCTCTCTTTCTCGAGACAAGAGATTTAAACAAATTTTAAAGTTTCACAACAAGAACCTCTCAACACGAAGCACTTTTTTGAAAATCGAGCACAAAATAAACAAAATAACAAAAGAGTTAAAATTATATACACTAAGAATCACAATCAAAATACTTGTTTACCATTTACCATATAAAAAAGACAAATTGTTAATAATAATTAAAAACTCCTCTAATAGTAAAAATGTTATTTATTATTGATTTCAATTTTAATTGTTATAAAATAATAAATTTGTTTTATTCTCAACCGAAAAAAAAACAAAAAAAAAATTACACACAATAACAAAGAATCAAATTCAATAAAATTGGCAAAACAGCAACAACAAATGACAATTTTTCAGTGTACCTTCAAAAGTAGAGTGTTTTATTATTTTAAGAAAATAAATACAAAATAATTGAATGTTGCAATAAATCAAATTATTTTTTCCCCTTCACCTCCTTCAAACCAGGAAAATGATGCGAAATGAATGGGAAATCCTTTAAGGCTTTTCTCCACGATATATATACATATATATATATATGTATTAAACTACTCCAACAAGTGTTATAAAAGAAAATAAATGAACGAATTGTAGTAATGATATAATTGTTGATGTATGACGACAAATCTTAAAGAGAGAATATTAAAGAGAAAAAAACAAAGAAGTGTAACGAAACCGAGATTTAAAATCATTATTAAGTTTAGAATTTTACATAACTTTTTATGTAAGCAAAATATGTATCAAATTATTTGTATTTTTTGTTTGTGTTTTTATGTAAACCAAGAAATGTAATTTTTTAAGGTAATCAAGAAAACAAAATTAAATATATAAATTAAAATGCAAAGACTTTTACTTTAAAACTTGCAACATATGGCGGGAGTTGAAAAATCTAAGCTATTTGCCTTGATTTTAATGTGATGTTATAAAAATTAATATTATAGCTCTGATATTTCTTGAGCAAATCTTCTTTAAAATTTCACGATTATAACTCTGATATTTGTTCAGAAAATATTCTGTAAAAATCTAGGGATGTAGCTCTGATATTTCTTTTAAAAAATTTGATTTAAAAATTTAAGAATATACAGGGTGGGATAAAAAAAAACTGCAACAAAGTAAAACGCCAATTTTTTTACATTTTTTTAATTGTATTGAATGAAGGCAAAAATGTCGGAAATAGCTTCAAATCTTAGATTAAGTTTAGATTTGTTTGAATTGGTCACCTTGGCACGAATTATGACCTTCAAACGGCCAATGAAACCGTCACACGCTGCCCGAATGTTGTCCTGCGGTATTAGTGTAACCCCTTGCTTTCCAAAAACCACAGACACAATAGCCCAACGGATTGGTATCCGGATATTTTGGTGGCCATTGTGCACTGGAAATGAAGCGAGGAACTTCATTTTGTAACCATTCTTGGGTTGTACTGACCCCTGTTGGAATGTCCATGGTCTGCGGCCAAAATGTTTGCGTGCCCAAGGCTTTAATACACCCTCCAGAATTTTTTTCGCGATAATATTCGGCATTTATTCCGATGCCACGGTCGATTAATATGAGCGGAGAGGGACCATCGGCTGTTATGGCGGCCCACACCATCATCATGGTCGGCGCTTGAGTTCTGGTGGCCAACGAAGGTGCACATTTTTAGCTGACCTTTTTTGCAAGTAAACACGGTCATTTTGTTTGTTTACAAACTGCTGGATAACGAATGTTTTCTCATTGTAGAAAAGCAAATTCAGCAGTTCACCACTTTCGGTCCAGCGAAGCAACTATTTAGCACTTTTGAGTGTATTTTCTTTTTGTTGCGGTGTAAGTTTTTGCACTTTTTGGAATTTCAATGGCTTTATTCCGAGCTAATTTTTCAATATTTGCCGAATGGAATATTGCGATATGTTCAGCTCACGAGCCATTTTTCGGACACTGCGACGCGGGTTTTGATCAAGTCGCTTCTTTACTTTTCGAACCATTTCTGCTGATATTACTGTTTTCTTCCGTCCACTCCCTTGACGTCGGGCTACACTACCAGTATCACGGTAACGAGCGATTGTACGAGACACAAACGATTTATTCACATTTAAATACTGGAGTGCTCTAACGATTTTCACTTGTGGTTTTCCAGCCAAATATAAAGAAATCACGCTATCACGCTTGAACTCCATCACGAATAACTTTTTTTTCAGGAAAATTCTCACCAAAATGCTTTTGTACGGTTGTAAACAATATAAAGAGCTCTCATTGGAATAATTTCAACAGCTGTCGGACGAGTGGCTTAGAAATGACAGCAGTCTGAAGTTGATTGCAGTTTTTTCATCTCACCCCGTATATCTAACGTTTATTTAAAAAATATTGTTTAAAAATCCAGGCTTTTTGATATGTTAGTAATATTTTTTTTTTCATTTTTAAGGGTGAGATAAGGCTGGGTTTTTGGAAATTTGGTGTAAAAATTATTTGAGAAGTAGGGTTTTGATATAAGTAGGTGTTTTTGGAAATGATTGCTAATGGCAACAACTGTACAATTTGGTTTTGGTTGAACGAATTGATCTGGAAATCTAAAATTTTGAGTGATAGTCTTTGATATTTTGTAGGATAGACAAACTATTCAAAAGTCTAACAATACAAGTACGAAATGTATTAAAATGCAATGAATTTGGTACGATTTACAATTGACAGTGGTAAAATCTTCGAAATTTATGGAGACGTTGAAATAGTTTTGGACAGAATGTAGGCACATTGTGCAGTGGTTTTACTAATATCTTCCTCGCTAAACTTCAAAATGATAGATTCGGAGGACTTTTTGGTGTAAAAGGTAAATATTTTCCCATTATTCTTTTCGAAAAAGAAAAAACTTTAATAATATATTTTTAGTACTCAAAATGCACAATTTATTCAGTTTGACAAGATTTTTTTAATCATAAAGATTTTCAAGGTTTTATATATTATTCAAGTCTTTTTTTCGGAAAAGGTATTTTTTAAATTTCCACGATTTTTAGAGTAGTAAGCCTCAAAAAAAAAACAAGTAAAAAAGCAGTAAGTTCGGCCGGGCCGAACTTTGAATATCCTCCTCCATTTGGAACGAATTAGGAAATTTTCAAAAAACAAATAAATTCTGTTAAAATCTTAAAAATACCGAATATTGTAAGGTGCCGATATATGAGGGATATACAATAGTGTGGACCTATTTATACAGATCTATGTCTGCGGGTAAATTTAGAATTTCAGACAGTTCCGTTGAAAATTGTGGCTAAAATCATCATAATTGCTAATATCAGGGGTACCGTTATATCGGGGCTATACGATGTCGTTGACCTATTTAGATAATTCTCTTTCAGGGGGTAAAGTACTCACAAAGAACTCCTTGTGTAGAATTCCGTTGAAAAATATGGCTAACATCATCAAAATACCGAATATGGGGGGGTACCGTTATATGGGGGCTATATGATATCGTAGACCTACATGAATAATTATCTTCCGAAGGAAAAAGTGCTCACAAGAAACTCCTTGTGTGGATTTTCAGATAATTCCATTGGAAAATGTGGATAAAATCATCAAAATCCCGAATATCGGGGGGTACCGTTATATGAGGCCTATACGATATCGTGGACCGATATCTTTCTTAATTCGTTTGGACTGTAGCGTGATTACAACAGACAATGACGAACTTAATATACCCTCCATTATATGAATGGTGGAGGGTACAAAAAAATCATCGGTAATACTCTTTAAAAATCCACGACAGTTGGTCTGTTAGTCCTTGAAATTATATTCTTTAAATATCCACGTCTATTGGTCTGTTAGACCTAGAAAATGTATTACTTAAATTTTTACGATTTTTGGCCACAAGTCCTTAAAAATGTTATTTAAAAATCCCCGATTATTGGCTTGTCAGTCCTTGAAAACTTGTTCTTTAAAAATCCGAGATTGTTGGCCTGTTGGTCCTTCTTTAAAAAACCACGATCTGAAATTCTTTATAATTTATTGGTCTGTTAGTCCATAAAATCATATTCTTTTGAAACTCCAAGCTCCATGAAGACTACTTTTGACAACGATTCGACAATAAACTTAGTAGATTTTGCGCCATTGTGATTGGACACTCTTCGAAATTCAAATCACAATTATGTTTTTGACAGTAAACCAGGTCTTGATTAGTCCGATAGCCTTAAAATGTATAAGGCACGATTCTACATTAGTATTTTAATCCCATGAAAAGAAAAAAACTGAATTGATTTTACTGTTGTTGAAAACTCAATTTTCGAACAAAAATTTATTTATATGTATATTTTCTTCATTTTATATATTTTTGTATCTTACAATTTATCAAAATAGACGATTATCAATTGTTTTACAATTATTTATATATATATACTTCATTTCATTTAGTTTGGCAATAAATATGTGTAAATACGCTTAATATTTTGCGAAATTGGGAAAAAATGAACAATGTTTTGATATATTTTCTTTTGTATTTAAAAAATAGGGTAGGTAGTGGATTCAGAGATAACCAAGACTACAAAAAGAATTTTGAACTTAAATGTTAATAAATGCACTTTTTCCGGTACGTTAGGAAAATTTCAAAAGGGATTCTTTTTTTCGTTTTTTTTTTTTTTTTTTTTTTTGTCTACTAAACGTAAAGTCTTTTGAAAATGTTTCTCAAGACCAATGGCTAATTAAGGAAAAGAAAATAATTACCCTATAATATGCTTTTTACACATACAAATTATAGCCCCTGAGTATATAAAACTAAATTATTATAAATATATAAATGTATTGTGATATATGTACGAATATGTACAAAAAAAGTGATGTGATGTTTACCAAGAGATAGAGGCTTGTATAACAAAACAAATACAAATCCTGCTGGCCTGTGAAGTCGAGTTTGAATTTCGGAATTTCGAGACAAAATTTGACTTTTCGACTCCAAAGGCGAGGAAGTGTCAAGAAAGGACAATTAACAGTACGTCACATACATAGATAACTAATATGTACAGATTTTCGTTGATAAAATAAATAAATAGGTAGGGTCCTTTGTTTTAGAAAAGCCAACTCGTTGTTGGGAAGAACAGTTGTCCCATTGTCGTTACATATAGTACAACTAACTTATATACATATACAACTAACTATTAAAAATATATTGCTTTTTAAATGCATTTTAAAAAAATTCGAGCATTTTATCGCTTGTTACTTTCTTTACTCCCAATAACTAACCTAACTTAATGTCTGGGCGACCACAACTGTTATTCCCGTATAGCCTTTCTAAAAAAGACAACTATTCGCTACTGGCCTAAATGCTATGAACTAATGTTGAGCTAATTAAAAGCTATTAATACACAAATGTGGGTGCTGTGATGAAAAATGATCTCTTGTTGTCAAAAAATCTTTTCTCTCCTTTGATTTTGTTGTTTTATGGGTGTGACCGCCTTAATCAATTGTTACTGCCCAGGGATGTTCCACTTTGCCGTATTGAATGTCCATTAAAGTTTCACGAATCGTTTCGTGAATGGGTTTCTCTTGTTCCATGGTGGGGATGTACAAATCTTCGCCCAAATAGCTAATGCGATTAATCGGACTAACCACACAGGCGGTACCGGTGCCGAACAATTCCAATAACTGCAAGGCAGACAAGAGGTTAATATTTTTTAAATTTCTTTTGTAGGAATAATCTTTACTTACTCTGCCTTCATTCAGCAAATGTTTAATGTCGGGCATGGTGAAAATATCTTCGGTTACCTTGAATTGGCCCCATTGACGAGCCAAGGCAAGAATTGAATCTCTGGTAATGCCGGGTAAGATGAGGCCATTCAGGGGTGGGGTTCTCAGTTCTTTTTCTGCAATTTGAGAAAAATATGATTTAATTTTCATTTCTTTAAAACTAATGGATTTTGTTTGAACTCACCTCCTTTCTCGTTGACGAACAACATGAAAATATTCATGGTACCAACTTCGGTCAATTGGTGATCATCACCATACAACCACAACACCTGTTGCAAACCTTTGCGGGAAGCCTCTTTTTGGACATTGATGGTGGGTGCATAATTTGAGCCCATTTTACGATTACCAGCACCGCCTGGCCAGGCTCTTGTGTAGGAGGGATCAGCTAAGAGGGAAACAGCGCCGGTGCTATCGCTCTTGAAATAGCTACCAACTGGACTGAGAATTGTGTACAATAAGGCGGAATCGGAGGCGGCAACACCCAAGGTAGGCTATAAAGGATAACATGGAAATATGTTAGGATCTAGATCGAGAAAAGTGGTTTCAAATTAATACTCACATCAATACCAATCAATGTGGGGCGAATATATAAACTGGCAGCTTCGGTATGGGGTACCCATTCGGAATCAATTGACAACAATCGGCACAGGCACTTGATGAACTCTTCGCCTTCAAATGTGGGCAGACCGGAGCGTTTGGCAGCTAAATTCATGCGATGCATATTCATGTCAGGGCGGAAAATACGGATTTTGCCATCGACACCACGATAGGCCTTCATGCCTTCGAAAAGCTGCAATGGAAAAATATATTTCATTAATTGTTTTTTGTTTATAGTATTAAAAGTTATTTATGTAAATAGTTTAATTAACGTAAACAAAGGTGTTTTTCCCATCATCTACTCAATTATAAAAGCCTATGATGACACCAAATCTCCTGGTGTTACAACAAAACAAAAACATCGAACTGATAATAGCTTTCACACTGGGGTTATGGCATTATCAATTAAGGTTTAAAAAACTTTGGCTTTGTAAAAACTGAAACTGATAACAGGAGACAAAACACGTAAACTGATCGTAATTTTAATCGGAATTTTTCGCTGCACAAGCAAATTTTTGTTTGGATTTGAACTAATAATAGTCTAAATTTTTACAGGAAGTACTTTTCAGAATGTTTTGTTTTTGAATTATTTTACTTTGTGATTGAAAAATAAAGAAAAAGCGACAAGCGGTCATTCCTCCAACAATGCTAGAATAATATATGTAGATGCATCACCAATTTTGAAGCTTGGTATGCCAAAAATTATTTGACAATTCATTGTACCATCAGCTGTGGGTTAGCTGTATTATATTGTCATGGCTCCAAACATGAATAATTGAAGATGAATAATTTGTGCAAATTTAAATTTAAAGTACGTTTAATTTTATTGAAAATTAAACACTTGAATAAACAAATTTAAATTTGCAAAGTAAGACAGATATTTGAAAACCCCATCCTTAACGGCCAATTTCGACAAAGTTTCTTGGTCGTTTTTTCCCTTTCGTACTCACCTCAACAGCATAATGTAATACTTTGGCAGCGGGATGCATAACTAGATTTTCCAATGGTGTAATTTCGGGCTTTTGCCAACCGCCCAAACTTTTGTGATAGTATATCTTCAACATATGATCTGTGAAGAGTTTGCCAAAGCCCAATTCGTCATCGATATCGGGTTTGGGCTGCAATTGCTGTGGCATGGCCAATCGTACGGACAGGGAAGAGGCGGAAAATTGTTGGCCCACTTCTTCATCGTGTACAATGGGTTCGGGTGCGGCTGTGATCAATTTTGATGCTATCGATTTGGTAATTTTGAAATCGGTATCCAATTGAGGTTTCTGTTGTTGCAATTTTTGTTGTTGGGCTGCGTTCAAGGATTGATTGCTGCACATACGAATTGATTGTTCAATAATTCGAATCAATCGGTGTTGGTTGCGGAAAAGTTCCTGAAAATAAAACGAAAGGAGAAATTTTTATTAGGTGGGAACGGAAAAGAGAGAGAATTGTTCATCAAAATTCAAAAAGCAGAAAATCATTTGTGGTCATTAAACTGGGATCTTGAGCCAGTCCTCTTTTGTTTAGATAGGGTCTCAAATTAATTGGGTTTGCAAAATTTTCATATCGCCCTTTGTCCGTCTGATTATTTTTAAATGCAAAGAAAAATAATTGTTTAAATTTGTTCCCAATATTTCGTTGGCTTTTTCTAACATATAACGAACATAGTAGTGGACGGTATTTCACGTCCCCATGGCGGGGTATTGGTTAAAGTTTTCAACTAGCAATAATCGCACCTCAGTAGAACTTCATCGGTTACGATATCGCCTCTGCGCAAAGCTAAAGATCTGAGCAAAAAACTCGAATATTTCTATTTCAGTCATTACAGAGTGAATGCGAATTATATTCACACATAAATGAATGGGAATTTAATGAAAGTAATGATTATAAAGGCAAAGTGAACGCACAATTGATGAAGATCACTTTGTGTGTGTGTTAAAGATCATCCCTCAGATGATTTGAGTAGGAAGTTAGGTAGAAAGGGATGATTGAATAGGTGTTATTCCTCGCAGTGTTGCCACTTATCATCTGAAAAGATCCAAAAAATCATAATAGTGACCAAAACTGATGTTGGCTAAAAAACTGATCCCCACAATAAAACATTTATTTATTAATTGATTTTAATTTCGGCGCCTTCATCGTCGAAATTTCAAACTGTACTAATTTTGTATAACAGTACTATATATTTTGCTCGTTTTGTTTTTATTTTAGCCATTTTAATTATGCCAGACATTTCCCATACATATTTATGGCAATTCTAGAATTTATGCGTGACTTAATGGCAATTCCAAAGAAATTGAAAGTAATTATTTGCATTATAATTAAATGTTTTCTGTTTGTTTTCTTTTTTCTTCTTTCCAATTGGAAACAACAGAACAATGACCCGTAGAAATATTTAATTATTTTTAAAACTGAGTGAGAAATTATAATTTTATTTAACAACATAAGAAGAACCGTGAATTACGATTTGTAATGAAGAAAAGGTCGGATGAAGATGAAAGAGTTGATTGGTAATTGTCTCATTGTTAAAATGTATATTTAAAATAAACGTTTAAATGTTTCAAAACTATTTTCCTTTGAAAAGAAAAAAACATCTGGTTTACACTGATCTCATCCAGAAATATAATCTTTAACAATACGTGTTACAAATTTCGATGATGTTTGATTAATGAAAAAAAATACTGATGTAATTTTTGATAACCTTTCCGAAGTGCACATTTCAATTTTGTCAAGTAATTTCAGAAAAAATATAAGGGGAATAATTGGAATTAAGTTTACATATTTTTATTGAATTTAATTAATTGTAGAAAAAATTTTGTAATTTCTTATGCCACTGGCCATACTCAGATTACATGATATTCGGCTTATCATTTAGCTGGGTTATATTTTTTCAATTATATTTAATTGATTTAATAATATAGTAGGCATATTTCTATTTGATTTTTTTGTTAACGAAAATATGATGCAATATTGCTGTGAAATGTATCATAATTGTTAGTTCCAGTTTTGACAACAAAAATAAAAAAATGTTGCAAGGCCTTCTAAACAGCAGCCTCAAAATCGATACCATAAGAATCAAAAAGAGGTTTACAGCAAAAAAAGTTTGAGCCAGATTTTGGATTTTTAAAATATGTATACCATACTTTTATACAGGATGAGATGAAAAACTGCAACCAATTTCAGACTGCTGTCATTTCCAAGCATAACAGCCGAGGGTGTATTAAAGCCTTGGGCACGCAAACATTTTGGCTGCAGACCTTGTACATTCCAACAGGACTCAGCACCATTGCACTTAGCGCGCGCCACCCAAAATGAGGTTTCTCGCTTCATTTCCAGCACACAATGGCCACCAAAATCCCCGGATACCAATCCGTTGGACTATTGTGTCTGGAATATTTTGGAAAGCAAGGTTGGCACTAAAAAATACCAAAGTGTCGATCACCTCAAGCAACAGGCTTCAGAACCTGAATAACATAGACCTTCCTGTTGAATTTAAAATATAAAACTGACAATAAAGTCCGATTTGTAATTTTATCAAAAGTCAAAACGAAACGTAAGAAGTACGATTAATACAAGCCGAACAAATTAAAATTAGACAAATATTTTTGACCATTTTGAACTGTAGGAAAGGGTTTAAAGTCAATTGTTTTTTGCGCAGTGAAAAGATATGGTGATTAATTTCCCAAAGTAGGGAAGAGAGAACACAAAAGTGTTCTAATTAACAAAAAATCGATTCACAAATCGAACAAATTCAAATTAGACAAATAAATAATTTTGAACCTTTTTCAAATATAGTGAGGATTTAAAGTCCATAATTTTTACACAGAGAAGTAGAGGCGAAGGAAGGAAAAAAAAAAGAAAATGGGTTCGCTAACTGGAAAAATTCAAATTAGACAACTATTTTTCATTGTTTTTAGTATGTTAGAACCGGATTAGAAACAGTTGCTCTATTCGAGGACCTGCAAGAACGTACAAGTCTTGCAATTTTTAAGCTATTAAGGAGAAATCATTTATCGTATTAAAAACTCTTACATTCTTACAGTTCGGGAAAAGAGCAAATGTTTAAACAAAAATGGGACGAATTCAGATCAAACAAATAATTTAAATCATAGATAGAAGAATAAAACATTTTTATTATTACAATCAACGCCAATAATCTCTGTGACGTTAAATAATACCTTCAAAATCCGATTGTTTCAAGCTGTTTGTTTTGCCAGAAGTAATGACTTTTGCAAAAAACGACGATAATCATACGAATCTGATAATACGAAGCGAGAACAAATATATACTATTCGAAGCTTCTGCTTAATTTCTTTAAAAAAAAAATTGAAATAAAAAATGATGCAATATTCTTTTGAAATCTGTCATAAGATTTTAATGCACTTTTTATAACTCAAACTGATAGTAACAATTTTCGATAACAGCAATTTGTTTCGAAAGTTAAAGAATTTGTTCCAGAATTTGCAAGAATCTTCTAGTTTTGCAATCTTTTTTCACAAAGGAAGAATTGATTACATTTTTACAAAAGTAAGCGACGAAAGCAGATTGTTGCTCAAATTTTTACTTCACTTTTATCATGAACATTTTACTTTTCTAAATGTTACCGATTGCCGGTCATTTCAAAAAAGTTACCGAAATTCACTACGAGCCTTCACTATGTTCGATATTATGATTATACACAGAAGCCCACTCAAAACTAGAGAATATGTGGAAAGAGTTTATTCCACATATTTGCTCAACGTTTTTTATTTGAAAAATTTAATTATTTCTTATTATTCATTTCTATTCAAATTTGACTCCACGAACGTATAATTAATACAATAAATAATTTATTAAATTAAGTAAAATCACAGTCAAGCCCGAAGTTAAATGTTATCACAAAATCGTTTCTACATTATCGCAATTGAATTACTTACTCCCCCAATATTTCAAACTCTATTCTCCAAACCACTGCTATTTTTTTTTCCTCTTCAAATCTATTCAAATATTAGCCCTCTCGGGCTTGCAAAAATTGCCGTAGTGGACGGTATTTCACGTCCCCATGGCGGGGTATTGGTTAAAGTTTTCAACTAGCAATAATCGCACCTCAGTAGAACTTCATTGGTTACGATATCGCCTCTGCGCAAAGCTAAAGATTTCGGCGATAATCAGAACTATTTCCGTCGACAACACTACAATGTGAATGAGAATTTTAATGCAAAGGCATAACGATGAAATACACCGAAACCCACAATCAACAAACAATGTGTGTATTTTTTGTGTGTTGTTCTCTTTCAAATCTTGGTGGTTGGTTAGTAGGCTGCGGAGTGCCTTGCCTAAAGGTATGAGAACAGTGTAGAATTGTTGTTGGGACAAGTTGTGTGTAAGTGCGACTGACTAACAAAATGCAGGGTTGTTGTTCTTAGTGTTTTGTACTTGAATGCATTTTATTGGTAGCTAAGTTTGAGATAGAAATGCAAATGCTGTATTGCATCCAATTTGCCGTGCAGTAGATGCTGTATGACTGTTAGTGCTGCATTTACTTGCAGATTTGTTGTTGTGTCTTTTCTCAACAAAAAAGTGGGGAGTGTAAATGTAATAAGGGTACTCCTGGTCAATGGTGGATATTAAAGTAAAAACAAGTCAGAAATCACTTTTTGCCTGATCATCTCTATTTGTAGCCTTTTCAAACACTAATTTAAAGGAGGGCTCGCAAAAAATGTTAAAAATAATAATTTTAATTTAAACGACGGACAGACATTCATTTAAATTAAAATTATTTTATTTTTAAATTTTTTATGCGAGCCCCCCTATTATCAACCCATTTCAAGTTTTTTTTCTGTATAGCTTATCTTTATGAGCCCACTTGTGGTTTCTTGCTACTAACTTAAATATAGCCAATAAAAATGCGTAGTAAAATTCAAAAATGTCACAATTTTATGAATGAATTTTTCAAATCGCTGCTACTGATGCAGTGTTTACATATGTATGTAGGTATAAATAATAGGTATATCTTGTTACTAACCTATGTTTATTTAATGATAAGATAATGTCAAAACGTGCAGTGATTTTTTTGTTTTAAAAGCCATTTAGAAATGATTCCGATTTTTTTAGTTTGATATGGTTTTTATGGCAAAAAATAATTAAAAAAAAAAAAAAATAAATTATTTCCATTTAATTTTTCCTTAAAGTATGACTTTTCAAAAACATTGCTTCTTAAAAAAAATCATATTCTAAAAAATGGGCTTTTAATTATTTTCCCTTTATATTTTTCTCTAACAAATACTGCCCAGGACTTATTTTTCTGAAAATCTTTCGGTTCGGCATAGGTCAGTGACATTTGTTTTCTCTTTGTGCTCGTTTCATTAATAGCAAAAACAATACAAATTAAAAATTTTCCCTCCTATTATACTATGTTAAATACAACTATGTATGTAAGTATATAATTCATTATACACAAATATTTGGCGATCACAAAGTATTTAAATTGTCCATTAAAATATCACAAATGATAAATTATCCAATTCTTTGTGGAAAGATTTTTTTTTTGCGCTGAAATATATTGCCAAAAAAATAAGACATTTGTTTATAAGAATAAAATATAAGAAAATTACATTTATAATACGCACATAATTGTTCCTTTTGAAAATTAGTAATTTACACAATTTTAAACCAAAAAAGGCAATTTACATTTTAAAGGAATTTTCTGCAATGGGCGGCAATTTATCGGACATTAAACTTTAAATGGGGATCAATGATTTCGCATAATATTTTTTTTTTTTTTTTGAAATTTTCTTCGCCTTATGACAATCTTTAAATACCCTCCATACTATAATTGAGGTTGTAAAACGGAAAATTAATTTAATTTTTATTTTCGGAAAAAATCCAAATCTTTAAAAATAGTTCTTAAATTGCTTAAATGCTAATTAAATTTCTTTTCGACTCTACGATATGGACTCGAGTTAAACTCATTTCGGTCTAAAGGGGGTAACGGGTATAAGAGTACGAGTATTTCAGATTCCAATATGTAACAAATTTGGCTAAAATTTAGATTTAAATAACAATTTACGAACATATTTTCATATTAAAACATTTCACAAATTATTCAAATATTTTAAAAACAAAAAAGTTCAGAATTAAATAGTTCACACATTTTTTTTCACATTTCATTTAAAAATTGTGAATTTTCTTCATTTTCAATTTTTTTTATTTGTTAAAAAATGAAATTCTTTTCAATAAAAGCAAAAATAAAAAGTTCACACAACTTTAAAATATTTAGGAATAAATATATTCGGCAACGAATTGTTTGTACCTTTTGTCACACTATTCAATTTTTGTTTTATCATTTAACATTTGACAACACTTTCACTGGGATTTTTTTAAAATATCTGAAGACATAAATTTAATTTTTAAACTTTTAACCTATTTTTTTATTTTAAATCTTTATACATTTTTCTAGATATAAAGTTTTTATATACTATATCGTAAATATTGTACACTTTTTATAAAATATAGTTTATATTAAATTTACAAATATTTGCAATATAATATTTAGGAACACTTGCAAAATATTATCAATGGATTATTTTAGGAAACACACGAGATTTCTAAAGTGAATTTAAGATTATTTTTTTTTATGGACTGTAAATCCATCTGTTCTTTATTCTAATTAAATCACAAACTTCCCGACATATTTAATTATTAAATGGCATTGCTTTATTGCAGCATGTGATGTTAGTCGGAACTATTTCTATGGCGATAAGTAAAAATAGACCAGACAGAAATAAAAAAAAATTTAAACTACTCGGAAGCAGTAAAAACGGGAATAGCCGCACTATTAAAGTTTGATAACAATTGATAATAAAAAAAAAAACTCAAAAATCTGCTGTTCATGACATATCCCAAAAATACCTTTGTGGAGAATGAAAATGTTTTAGGGGTTTTTTTAAGTAATTTAAAATTTGCTAGGACGCAGTTATTTCTTTCTAATCCACACACCATATTCCTTTTATTTTATAAAACTCTCAAATTTCTTATTGACGTCAGTGGGAAATTGTTTTTCACTTTAAATAAAAAAAAACAACAATACAAAAAATTTGTTTGTTTTTTTTTTTTGATGTTGACAATGAATTATGTTGTTGCTGTTTTTTTTTTGGCATCGATGGATATTTGAATTGAATCATTTGGTTACTGTCACTCACTTGCAGACATATTTGTTCTAAAAATAACTTATTTTTGGACAATGTCTAGCTAAAAAATGTATTTTGCTGCGTATTTATTTATTAATTTTGATATATGTATTAATGTAAACAAAACAGGGTGTTCCAGAACATACGAGAGCTATTCAAATATTGATTAGGGGCTGGATTATTGTTTTATGACATTTAGAATATTTCGTCTGTAAAATTTTTCATATAAACTGTTTTCCCGTATAGAAGTCTTCTTTTTAAATTTTCAAAAAAAAAAAAAAAAAAAAAACAATAAATAAATATCTTTAATTGCAAAAGTGCAAAATTATTTGAAATTCCTCAAATTTGTTAAAATACGGAAAATATCTATTTTAGTTCCCCATACATATATTTATATCCCTCATTACTTGACTTTTCTGTTACGGAAAGTAATGCAAATTATACGGATGTTATGTTGCAGTGATGTCAGGTAATTATTAATATTATCATTTTGTAAATATTCCTTCCAAGACCCCTATTTATAAAAATTTAAATCAATATTATCAGCAGAATTTTGTGATCATTCCATAGCTAATACAAAATTTATAATTTAATAATAAATGTATAAATTTAAGTGGTCGAGAATAAAAAACTTCTTGACGTTGCCGAGCCTTGAACCGTCGGCTGGATAATCTGACACACAAACTCCTTAACCTCCATACTTGTTTCACAATGCAATTCACTCACATTCTCATTTAGGATACTTAGTAATAACAAAATCTAATTTGTACATGTCTGCGAAACTGAGATTTGTGCGCTTTTTACCTAAAATAAGTGTCGATTTTTAGGCAATTGGACTTGATGGCGCCCAATTGAAGACTTTTAAAAATTCTATTCAGGGTTGGCCCAAAAAACTGTTTCTTTTCTCCCCCGAAATCTAATTAAAAATTTTTCGAATTTTTATTCTGAAAATCAAAAATCTGGCGCCCAAAAAAATAGAATCGATGATTTTAATACATTTTAATTGAAAATGAACTCTCTATTAACACAAATTTGTATTTTTGGGTAAATAGGCTATTCTGGCAACAAACTTATGACACGCAGTCAGCATTTCAGCGAATTTCTAAATAAAATAAAAATGTTTCCCAATGTTTGTAGACTATGTCTGTAAAAATCTGCAATACTGCTCCATGTAGACGTATCTCGGAATTTGTGATGTATTTAATGTTTCAGACACATTTTTCAAATAAAATAGTTGTAGTTTGGTATGCAAATGATTTCCTTCAAAACATGCAAGATCATTAAATATTGTTATAAAATTTGGCAGAAATTTGGAACTCCCCTAAAATATTCTATAATGGATTCTGAGGGTTTGTGGCGCCCAACATAAAATAAATATGTAAATATTTTAGTTTTCCAAACATATTACTTGTATTTTAGCATTTTAAGGTCCTAGAAAAATTTAAAAAAAAGTCCACCGCATTTTCGATATATAAATATTTCCGACTCATTTTCAATTATGTCCTAACTTTATGATGATCAAGGCTTGTTATTGAAAGTATTCTTCAATAGAGTCGGAGTCATAAAATATATATTTTTTATTTTTTTAGTTTCGGTTTTTTTTTTTTTTAGCGGTACGGCATTATGTTGGGTGTTTGAAGCACCTAGCCATATTTTCAGCCAAAGAGAGTAAGGCATGAAGTCTAAATGGGTAGAACACACCTTTGCAAAAAAATGATAATCAAAAAACGTTTGGATTTTTTCACGGCATCACAAAACTACCGAGTTTACTTGTTGGTTTCTATTCCCAGTGAGTGAAAAAATATTCAGAAAATACTTCCGATTAGAAAATTTTTGAAAGCTTTACCGACAATATTTATATGAATTGAAACATTTTAAAGACATAAATGGGTACGTTTTTGTTTTGAGGCTTGAGCTAGCCGTCCAACCATTTGAAAGTTTTAAACCTGGTTGCTAGGTACTGTTTGAATTACATAGACCTTAGAGAGATGCATAAATTAACGTTTCTTTAACTTAAAATGCCGTGTGTTATTTATGCAAATTTTTGTTCCATGGGGGTACAAAATATTCCAGTTAAAAACGATTTCGCGTCTTTCATAATTTTGAAGACATTTATGGGTAAAACCGGTCTTTTTTGCATGCTTTAAAGGATATACTAAAATTTTCCTAATGAATAATTTAATACACCTAAATCATTAATAAAATTTGTATATCGAATCATTAATCTTTTATATGTTCTAATATTTAATCGGCAGGAGAACAGTTTTAAAATTACCAAATCGAAAAAACTGAGGGTTTGGCGGGAAATGCTAAACATATGAAATGAAGTATTTAATATACATTAATTTTTGAATTTTTAAAAATGAATTTGCAAAAAAAAAAAACTCAAAATTGAAAATAAAATTGTTTTCTTTAGTTGTTTTTTTTTGCGAATTGAGTAAGGAAATACATAACTTAACCTGTTTCCATTATTTATTTACAAGACTTCATCTTCAATTTCGCTCTCATTGCTTCAATTTTACTTTGTTTTACATGCTTCTGCTTTATGGCTTTACGAATTTTGATGAATCGTATTTTTCGTTTTTATAAATATTAAAATATTTAAATTAAAAAAAATCATTTGACCTACCTTAGCATTAATGGCCATTTTGGTTGTCATCTTGATGGTAGGTATTTTTAAAATAATTCAAACTTTAACAATGGAATAAAATCGATTTAAATGGATTTAGTTTCCAGAATTTTCTTCACCACTTAATTGGCACTTGGATCTATTTTACTTTTTTTTTTTGGCTTTCGTAAAAGTCTATTTTTTGTGAAAAAACTGCCCAATTTTTGCACAGTTCTTTATAATTTGTTAAAAAAGAAAAATAATTATTTTTCTTTTTTTAATTGCCTCTTGAAGCTTTAAATTCTTTTCAATATATTTTTTCGTTTAAAGCTGCTTTAAAATTGCTCTTTTTTTTCTTCTACTTCTTTCCACTGGTATTTCCTTATAGATTCTTCTTTCAAATCCGACACACACGATTCGAGTGTTGCTTCTTCTCGTCGTCGTCTACTTTGCTTACAGTTGCTGTGAAAAGTATGCACTTTAGTTGCTATTTTTTGAATTCGAATACGTCTTAACAGCTCCAAGTTGCGGCAATAACTGAAATTTCGACTAGCATGCGGGCTCTATGTATAGGCTTCTGGGACTGTCGTTGCGGCACACGAATACGATGTGGTAATGACACGAGCAGTAATATTTACTCAACGCGTCACAGCACATTCGTCTCTCGTACTTCGCAATTCATTCTCTTTGGCGAGAGCGAACAAATACACTCGCACATCGCTTGATCGGAGAAACTCACAACAACAACAAATTTTAATCAGAAAACAACGGTGAATACGAAATGACAAAGGCATTCGTACCCACTAGTATCGCATGGTTTCTGTCAGTTATGATCATTTGGCAAATCTATTGTTGCAGGTATAGGAGGCCCATCCATTGTTCGCTGTAGAGTATCTATGAGATGATTTTTTTAGTACAATTATCTATGTAGTTGTTGTATTTAGCTGGTGTATTCTAAGAGAATTTGTCGTGATTTTATTGCCTTTGTTCGATGTGTGACACGTTTTTTGTTGGTTTTTAGGTCGTTGTTTTACACCAGCATACAGCAATTTTTTTTAACTCAGTTAGTAAGAATAGAAATCTTTAAATATTTACTATGAACATTTCGTGAGAAAACTTGTGTTAGACAAATTATCTGACGAATATATAAACGTAGATTAACATCGGAATCGAAAACATTCTATTATAATATAGTTGTAATTATTAATGTTTACAAATTTTGCGATAGTTGATCTCAGTCTGCCGAAAATAGCATTTAAGATAGCTGCCTTTTTGAATAGCAGAAGTTTTTGTGAAAATTTCGAATTGTCAATTTCGGAATTGTATGATGTGCAAAATTTGGAACATTTATCAGTTTTCCAATCCCGTATTTTCGGGGTAAGTATTTCATACATGTGTATTTTGCCAGTAGGCGGGTTAAGTTCGTAAATGGCCCATGTCGGTCCACGTTTTGGCATAGCCCACGTATAACGGTACCTCCCGATATTCGATATTTTGGTGATTTCAGTGACGTTTTTCACAGGAATTGCTCCAAATGTCATATTCGAAATTTGTAATGGGTACTACAGCCTATGCCTAAAAATTTCGTATACAGATCTACGTCTTCGTATAGCACCCATATAACGGTATCTCACGATATTCGGTATTTTAATTATTTTAGCGACATTATTCACCCAAATTATTTCAAATTTCGTATTCGAAGTTTGTAATGGGTACTACAGCCTATGCCTAAAAATTTCGTGTAGTCCTCATATAGCGGTACTTCTCTTTATTCCGTATTTTGATGATTTTAGCGACACTATTCACCGGAATTGTTTCAAATTTCGTATTTGAAGATCTTAATGGGTACTACTATTATTCTGAATTTTTTGAAATTTTTCAAGTTCCTTCCAAATGGTGGAGGGTATTAAAAATTCAACCCGGCCGAACTTAGCTGCGTTTTGACTTGTTTTTACCGAACAATATTCCATTTTTTGATGATCCTAGCCACATTTTTCCGTATGTGGACCCTTGGAGGTGTGAGTTCGGTGAAAATTTTACATCACGTTCGGGGCCGGTCAATTGTCCTCATAGATCGTTCAATTCAACGCCTTTAAAACCCATGTTTACATATTTAGACGAAAACTCTTCAATTGAAGTCAGATTGAAAGTCAAAATTGAAGCATTTACACGTGAGATACCGACCGAAATGTTAGAGAGAGTATGCCAAAATTGGACTAAGGGAAAAGACCAATTGGACGCAGTAGTGGTCAACATTTCCATGAAATAATATTCCAAAAAATTCGTTCCAAATAGTGGAGGATATTCAAAGTTCGACCCGGCAGAACATGGTGCTTTGGCGGAGTCATTTATTCCTTTTGAGAAGGATCATATTAAACAAGTTAATATGATCCTTCTCAAAGTCATATAATGCACTCTTCAGCAATGTTATTTGGTACGAGAGGGATAAATGACTCCGCCAAATTTGATGGCAAACGATTTAGAGTTGGATATACCACCCATATATTATTTTCCCCTGATTCGAAATTAAAACTGCTCTGAAGCTACATACGCATTCAAAAAAGAAACGATCCACATCACATTAACATGCATAGTTGTGTGGGTATCGTTAAGTCGGACTGGTTTACCGTTAATTTAACACGTTTCAATTTCTTATTATTTATCTTTTCCAGTCTGGCTTGTGGATAATACCAATCGGTATTGGTAATATTCGGTTTGTTGATCAAAACCACAACAGATTTTCGGGTTCTTATGCCAAGCTTCTTGAGGGTGTTTCTATTGCCTTGATCATATACAAAAGGACTCCAACATTTTGAGATATAATTGGAACATATAATAGCTTTGAAATTTTATAAAGGGTAAAAAAATGGATCATGTCGGATAACTTTTTGGTACATATATTTCACTTTATTAGTCATATATTCCACTTTATTTATTTTTTCCAATCGATTTGGTCGAATATTTGCATTTTAGTTTCTTCGAAGGTAGAAATCTTTCCGACTGAAAAATCATCAAAGTTTTGGGGATAATTTTAAATTTTAAATATCGAAAAAGGGGAGGGGGCTGGAGGCAACTTTTGTAAACTGGTGTAATTGAAGTTTCTTGTATGTGCGAATAAATTCTCGGAGTTTGTATCTTACGATAAACAAACAAACAAAAAGAGAACTCTCTCTCTCTCTTTGATGCAACACTGAGCTGTCAAATATGTCGTGTGTCGTCCGTGAAGTTTTCTGAATTGGTTCACATTTGTTGTCTGCGTACTTCGTTAATAATATATTTTAAATTGTTGTAAACAAAATTATTAAATAAAAATTTTCATCATTTTGTTTACCGTTATTGTGTTCGGTTTATTCTTTCCTGTTTTTTTTTGTGGATTTCGTATAAAATACGCAATAAACTGACACCTTGTGTGAAAGAGAATTCATTTAAAATGTGGGTGCGTAAAATAAGAAGAAACAAAAACAAGTTTTTTTTTTTTAATAATCATCACGTGCCGCATATTCTTCGGCTTGTGCATCTTGAAACAAGAAAATTTCGTATCGCACAGATAGATATATACATAACTATGACAATAAAATGTGTGAATCAGGTGGAAACGTGTTATTGACTTTATTGATTAAAATATTCAAATCTGTTGTGGCTCTTATTTGGTTTTATTGTTAATAATCGACGGTCGTCGACGATGTCATAGACACAGTAAGGAGTTTGTATACACGACTTTTCGACGATTTTTATACCCCCCCCCCCATTCTATGGAGGGTATATTAGCTTAGCAAAGTATATATATTCTATAGATTCTCGTCTGTCTGTGTGTCTGTCCGTGTATATTGCCAGTATACATGTTAAGTTTGTAGATGGGTCATGTAGGTCCACGTTTTCGTATAGCTCATATTCCGATATTCGGTATTTTGATGATTTAAGCGACATTATTCACCCGAATCGTTTGAAATTTCTTATTCGAAGATTGTAATGGATACTACTGCCTATGCCTAAAAAGTTCTACATACGAACTTTCCACGAAGTTCGTAGTTTGTAATTCGAAGTACTACATCCTATGCCTATAAAATTACTTATTTGGTCCAGGTCTTCGTATAGCTCCCAAATAACGGTATCTGCCTTTATTCGTTATTTTTTAGCGACATTATTCGTCGGAATTGTTTCAAATTTCGAATTTGAAGATCTTAATGGATACTACAGCCTGTGAAAAAATACTTACGCAGGTCCACGTCTTAGTATAGCCCCTGTATAAAGGTATAAAGGTATAACGGTATTTTTCGTTCTTTTTTACTTTTTTTAAATGGTAAATATTATCATTTTAGGAAAGAAATATCATCAAATTAAAGGTCACATAAAGTCCGTTATAGTTCGTCCAAGAATTCATTTTCATTTTTCCAAGAAATATATGAAAATTGTATGGAAGATATGTTCAAAATCAATCTTTGTTCCAAACCCAAAGTCGGCGAAAATCGATTTAAATTTTAGATTTTTCAGCAATTGGTGATTTTTTGAGGACGTTTTTTGCCGAAACAAAGCATCTTTGTTTAGAATAAAAATAAAAAATCTACCAAAAATCTGTAATGGAAAAATCGAAAGACGATAATTAAAGGTCGACTCTACTTCAATTGCTGATATTATGCTTTTGAAGCTTCTATCTACTACGTCTTTTTAAAATAACATTCGACTCTTTCAATGTATTTATGATACATAATTATGTATCTACATTTGTGAGAAAACGACGTAAACGAAAATTAAATATGATATATTTTCCTAGACATTCGCGTTTGTTTTTTTTTTTCATATTTTTTTGCCAAATAATCTTGAGATAAAATCTACACACACAAACACCCATCGCAATCTCGAGAGATAAGAGCAACAAAAAAAGTGAAAGTGATTTAGATCTAAAAAAGAAAACAATAACATGAAAACTGCGTCAGATTTTCAACATGTGTACAAACAAAATTCTTAAATGGCTCGAATGTACCGAACCAACCAACATACATACACACATTTATCTATTATCTATTTTTGAAATGGGAAAATACGCCAACGCATTTGGTTTTTTGGCAAGCTCGAAAAGAAATGACATTTAGGTATTTAAATTACTAGAATTAAACAAATTTGTGTTCTGGCAGTAGAAGAAAAAATTCGACATCATAAGTCCAATGGTTTTTTTGGTACCTTCAATTAAGATATTGCTACATATACATATATTTTTATCACTTTGGAGAACGTGCATTGTCACGAGAGATCATAAGTTTATGTGGTCTACCGTTGGATATCATAAAAATGAATAATATGTCTGGAGAATGGCATTTAATCTAAAGCAGACAGATGACAGACGATTATTCCGATAAAGAAACAAAAATCTGCCCTTTGATGCTTGGGATTTAAGATAACTGGTGATATCAATTCTCTGCTATCATTAGCGTTAGAATGATGTGTGGGAAACACATACATGGACTACTATCAAACATTCACCTAACGATTTTAAGAAATATACATATATAAATGCAGAATGTGTTCAAGTATATGATATCCTTCCTAGGCTATAAAT